CATCACATAAAATTATTGGAGCAACTTGAGGCTTACGATAGGAATAACAATAAAGTACAAGAGGCTTTGTTTTTGTTTGTATTTTTGCTTGTTCAGATTATACTCTATGATAAGTTCATACCTATATTTATATCTATATATCACAATCATGGAAACTCCCCGATTTCAGTCTACTCGGACATCACAAAATTTCATAATCATGAAACTCCAAGCAGTTGTTTGTACACCATCATCTATTTATCTCCTTAGTTGTTTTTTTATAATTGCTTGTTTTCTACAATAATAATCATGCTAATAATGATAATTTATCATTATTAGCATGATAGTGCTTGTTATAATATAATTATCAGGATTCATTTCTTCATTTATTGTAACTATCACCCCACCAAAACTGAATGATATTCCCAGAAATAAGTTACCATAGTATAATCAGAATTATGCCTTGTTCTTGTCTTTTTGCGTCATTTCGTAACTACGGACGAGAGGCTTTGTTTGTAATGAAAATAGCTCACGTGATCTTCACTCCCAAAGGTTCCAGCAGATCATTATGTTATGCAGATAGATTTCTCACTTAAATTAAGTAACCAAAAAGACAAAAAACTAAAGCTTAGGTCGGAGCATTGGCGTTGAGCCTGGCCTTCTCATGACAATATGACATGAATTTAGTCTTCTCTGTAATCCTGGGTAAAGAGTAGATCTCTCTCCTAAAGAACGTTCTATGTGAAAATGATACACCTTTGATTAATTAAATCAAGATTACTCATTCTAAAAGCATACACAAAGATTCACATGACTGTGTCGAAATATGAATCACGAAGCAAAATTTAGCAGGTCCCCTTCTCTGCACACTTTGTCATTCTTCCTTCCCGGAAGGCCTTGACTTCAAGTCTGAATCAGCTGAGGCAGGTCATGGCTTGACCCTCCTAGGGCGGTGACATCACTATAAGACCTTAGGCATATGAAGCTATCTTCATGACTTCTAGGTATCATCAGAACACGCACCAAAACTTGAATATCATATATACGATAGAAGCAATATATACACACACGCACTGACCTGGAAGCCAATACTTAACACAAAACATTCTCCATGAGTTCAGAAAGCAACAAAATCATCCACAAAGGTATCTGCGTGTTGGTGCTGGCCTCGCTCACTAAGAGATCCTGAAAACCAATATCTGGACAAGATGATCCGCCCTTCAGTGGTATGATTTCACTACTGAAATTTCCACGTCCACCTTCACAGTCTCTTCTTTTACTGTCCCATGTCGACAGGGCACAAGAGATGATCACTCTTTTATTAGCAGTTCCTCTTTGGCCATGTTGACGTAGACGACAGGTTTGCCATTTTGGGATTTCCCCTTTTTGGCGGTGCGGCAGCAGAAGTACGCAACGACGATGATGACCACGAAAACTAGTATGCCCAACACCGACGCAGTCGCCGTCAGTGCAGTTTTACCTATAATACCATGAGAATATTAGTAAAATGTAGGTGGGTGATGGAAATAGGGATCATCAGTATTCAAAGAGAAAACCGAATATCTAGAGTATACTTGTTACTGATAACAATAAATTTGATATTTTTTCCCGTGTGTTAGAGAATTATCAAAGCAAAATCATACACGAATCCTTCATGTGGAGTGTGACAGGTGTGCCGTACACGCAGGTATGCCAGTAACACATCTCCGTCCAATTCCCACCGTTAGGGTACATGGTCCCATCTGCCTCACAACCTGCCAACATGAAAGTTTCATTAATCCATCCGAAAATCCTTCGAGTTTTTATCTTATGCAAAAGAAAGGACTAGGTACACTAACAATTGACTGCATACAGGCAAGCTCCAGCAATAGAGAGATCTACACTGACAAAGGCAAAGTAGTTGCTTCTACAAATACACATCTACATCCCTGTACAAAAGAATTTAATCAGTCCCTTCGACACTCATAGTACATATAAACATGCACACACTTAGGTGTATACAAAGATCGGCACTGACATGTGATGTTGGTCCTGAGTTTACCAGCTTCGCAGTACAGCACTTGGCACTCCTCGGGCCACTCGTAGCCATCTGGGAACAGCTCATCCTGGACAGTGCAGCCTGAGCAGCGGTGGGAAATTTCTATTTATATTTTGCGTTTTGATTTGTTAACTTTTCACTTGTTCTCCAACTATTTTGAGATGTACATTTTCATTTGAAGCTACTAAGACTTGCAAGTTGTTGCAGATACAGTTATACTTTCTGGAGTTAGTATTATACTCATGCATGGATCTCTATGGTAAAGTCATATATAGCTTATTAAAGCGAAATGTGATACGATAGTAAAAAAAAACAGCAGACCACAAAGAAACCCATACACTTAAGGGAAACCATGCAGAGTAATGACAGGAAACTTTTAGCGAGGAACATGCAGACAAAAGTAGGCAAGAAATTAATGACTGCAATACGAGCATGCAAGTAAATTACCCATTACACGCAGTGTTTTAAATAATATTTAAAATGCAAAAGAACAAAGGAAATGAGCTACATGCAGACAAGATATAGTCTACATAGTTGAACATGTAAAGAATATTAATAAAAATAAGAGAGGAACACTGAAGGAAACACAGGATTGTAGTAAGGACACCGAGGGGGAGAAGAATGAGGTAAAAATGAAAAGGAGAAACAAATGGAGAAACAGGAAGCCATGCAAATCACATACATGTTGACAGAACAGTCGGTTCACTGCGGGTCCCGGCGACGCAAGTGTAGTTATGGCAGCCTTCGGTCCAGGTGTGTCCGTCTGGGTACACCTCTGCTCCTATCTCGCAACCTGGGAAGAGAGACAGATTGCTGATAGACTGCATTTCTTCACCTTCCAACCCAAGCCCACTGCGCATGTTTATTCACAGACAGTTACACAAAATCCCCACTAAAAATAAATGACATATATAGGGGAAGGCAGCTTCCATGAGGTCCTATTTGTTATGCAGGTAAGCGTCTATACATAAGCAAGGAGAACAATATTACTTTCAAGTATTCAAGTAATTTAAAGAAATTGTTTGAGCCATTCCAGATACGATATTTGCAAATCAAGAATGATGTCAAATGCATGAAATAACAAACAGACAGAAGCAAATTATCATCAAGTAATACTGAATCATGAAACTGAATATGCTGTAGCCCATCAGAGACAAGGACATACATGTTGGCAGCAGAGCCATAGGAATCAGCGAGCCGGCTGCGCAGGTGTAGTTGTGGCATCCTTCCGTCCAGTTTTCGCCGTCTGGGTGGATCTCGGTCTCTACTTCGCAGCCTAGCCGGATTGAAGTTGTAGGACATTGGAGGAAATAAGAAAGAAATGAGATGATGATATGGTTATGAATAGGTCCGTGTGTGTCTTTATTGTGTTTTTATTCGGTACTAAGCAAGTAAAATTCTGTGAGTGAGGGCTTAACAGAGCCTATACATTTACCAAAACTTTCCGTATATCAACAGGCAAGTTCACATGTAAGCACAGATCCAGCAACACACAATAATGAATAGCTTTCAATTCTTACAAAGGTCTGGGCGAAGGAAGCTCTCCAGAGAGCCTGTGATGCAAGTGTGGTTGTAGCAGCCCTCTTCCCAAGTGTGGCCGTCCACGATCACCTCGTCGCCCACCACACAACCTACAGGTGCGATGGCCAAATACTCATTATAGTCCGTGCTGTGTCGTTTCCTTTCACATATAGTTGATAACATTAATTTGGCTAATCAAACTCTATCATAAAGGTTAGCGAAGACGACAAAATAAATATATCATAATACAGCAGAAAATATGGCACCTTTGTTTCTAGGGAAATCAAGAGCTTGCATAATCACTTACACACTGGGAGCACCGAAGGCTCTGCAAGAACGCCATCCGCGCAGGAGTAGTTGTGGCAGCCCTCGACCCAGGTGTGGCCGTCGGGGTACACCTCTGGCCCCACCTCGCAGCCTTTGCGTATTATGCGATATAAACATTTCTTATTCACGGAATGTTCTCGATTTAATTGACACATTTTTTTAGATTATTTTTTTCCACATCCATCTTGGTTACAGTAGTTTTTATACTCACATGAAGGAACAAGTTCAGGCTCGTCCAGCATGCCAGCGCTGCAGCTGTAATGGTAGCAGCCCTGTATCCAGGTGTGGCCGTCGGGGTACACTTCCTCGCCCATCTCGCAGCCTAGGAGAGTTGTTTATCTCAAAGATTAAGAACCCTAACAAGGCCGATCTCCGGCTAACTTGCAATAAACGGAAACTTTTGAATTTCAAACCTGAATCTAATAAACGCTGTCATACAAGGGTGTTCACTTCAGAAAACCAGTTTATTTCAACAGAAAACAACTATGATCCTTACAGGTAGAGAGAACTGATAGGGTTTCTAAAGAACCAGCGGTGCAGGTGTAGTTGTGGCAGCCCTCCGTGAAGGCGAAGCCGTCGGGGAAAACCTCCTCTCCGACCTGGCAGCCTGAAATTTCACCAATTTGCAAGTTTCTCTTTGTCATCGCCATCACTCAAAATATAATGTTTGGTCTTAAACACATATATTACCGGACGATGGAGTTACCAAACAAATCAAATGTCCATTATGGTGCCTATTAACCCAATCGGCAAGTATAGCAAGAATACATGCCATGCCCACTGTAATATAATTGTATCTATTGTATTTACATATAGATGGCTCTACAAGTGCTTAGTCACCAAGGAGTCAGTTATTAGTCCTACCTATTTCACCCTGGAGAGGGTCTTAAATGTTACAAAGATTTTAATGACAATTTTATAATCATAACATCAATGACAATAATAACAGTATTGATACCAATTGCATTAAAGAGAAAAACACATTTTTCCGCCAATTCAAGGAATGGGGAAATCAAGATCGATCACTAGGGCCTACTGATAGACTCCTTGCCGGCTGAGCACATGTGGAGCCATCTGTATGTAACAAAAAACTACCGGGGACAGAACATAAATTCCATGTTAATTCCATGTAAAG